GCTGCACTCTGTACGGACGTTAAAGGCCACGTGATGTCGTTGGCTCGGATAGGCTATCGCGTGGGACTCAAGGTTTTGCCAAACTATAAAATAACACGGCAAGCTAAGCTCAGATGGGATTACGGTGCAGTACTCATGTGGGATTGTAGATACAGTCGAGCGATTAGCGCCCCACTACCCTCCCTGCTGGCAGGCTATTGCTCCACAGAAGGCCACTCTTGACAGTGAGACTCATCCTGGTCTCTTGACTTCTCATGGGGTTAAAGAAAATCATCATGCTCATCATCATCATTGTGTCGACACGATTATAAAATAATGACGGTGGTGGTGGTGACGATGATCAATCGATGTTGAACTTCTGTCGCACCGTACGTAGCCAACCGTGCTAATCTGGGGTGCGGTTTGTTTGTATGTTTAACTTCTGTCGCACCGTACGTAGCTGACCATGCTCATCGGAGTCTCAAACCTCGTTTTCAAGAGTCTCCCGGCCAAGTGGTTTCAGAGTCATGGCAAAATTTGTCGGGTTAATTTTTATCGTAGGATGTTTGGGCCGGTACCAATTCCATTGTGTGTGGATGTTCTTTTCCTGTTATGGGAGGGGAACCGGAGAATCCCGTATACGATTTGATCGTTGGAAAGACAATGACGGAAGCACTGCACGCCAACCAATCACCAACTGACGTGAATGTGCGTATATGCATGCGTGCAGGCGTATGCGTGTGTGACTGCGTGCGAGTGTCTGTGATATACGTGTGAAATACGTCGCGGAACTTTGAAACATCTGGGTCGTGGAGCCCCCATACCCAAACAGGCTTCACGTTTCACCGTATCGAAGGGGGCTAGAGACGGAATGGGTTGATACGGCACGGGAGGATGCGGAGCTGAGTGGACTTGCCGATGGCCGTTACCAGCGGTGTCAAGATCGGCCTCGCCGGAGGAGGCTCGTGAAGGACGCTGCTACTGCTGCACCTGGGCAGTTTGGAGGCAGTCGCCCTCCAGCAACAACGAGGGGCGGAGGAGCGACGCTCACAACAAACGAGCGGAGCGTCGGACGAATAAAGCACAGCAAGTTGGCACAGTAGTGGGGGCGGGGGGGGCACAGGTGGTGCATCTGCCAGTCATTTCAGTCGGCCAATCCGTCACGTCTGAGTCTGTTCCGTGACCTGACTGAAGCCAGCCTTCCACACTTCACGTGGCCATAACCTGGGAGTAACAACACCACCTGTTCGTGGTGAAGGGTGGCTCTTGTTGTTGTTGTTGTTGTGTATATTCGTAGAGTGTTTACCCGTGTGCCCGCGCGCGCGTGTGTGCGCGTGCGTGTCACGTGTGTGGAGCGGTGGTGCAGCGGTTAGCGCTGCACTGTGTTACGAACCCCGGCCACCCGAGTTCGATTCCTGCTCACGGCCAACCACCGACGCCGGTTTACGACTAATCTGAAGCGGTACTGGGCCTCCCCTAGGTCGACTCAGCCTCGAAATGAGTAAGCTGGCTCGGGTGCCTGAAACGTCGCTAAACTGGGGGATGCAATGGCGTGGTTTTCCGGCCTTCGTAGAGCAAAGGAGGTTCAGCACACGTACACCGCCTTGCCACAAAACTCCGTTGAAGGCTACACGGGGTGGGATCGTTTGCCTTGGGGTGAACGCCGAATGAGGTCGTTTATTTCACATCTGTAAATACCGAGAGAAGACTTACAGGCTATACGAGGTGGGGAGGGGGGGGGGTGTTTGTATTATTTCTCTCCGTATGCACACGCGCGAGTATCGGTGGCATTGAGGGTAACGGGGTCCCCGCGGGGTCGCGCGTTTGCCAACGAAAACTGCGGTCGCGGGCGACTCGTGAACTCCTCTCACCTTGATGGAGCAAAGCAAACACAAACCATCAGGGCAGTGGGAACTCCACACCACTCTTCGCGGGCTACGGCGACGATGGTGGTGATGCTGATGATGGTGATGACGACGATGATTATGGCGATAATGGCGATGATGATGACGACGATGATGACGATGATGATGATGGCGATGATAATGGCGATGATGATGACGATGATGATGATGATGATGATAACGATGATGATGACAATGACGTAGATGTTGATGGCGATTATAATGGCGATGATGACGACGATGATGATAAGGATGATGATGACAATGACGAAGATGATGATGGCGATAATAATGGCGGCGATGATGATGATGACGACGACGATGATGATGATGATGATAAGGATGATGACAATGACGAAGATGATGATGACAATGATGATGATGATGACGACGACGATGATGACGACGACGACGATGATGATGATAAGGATGATGACAATGACGAAGATGATGATGGCGATGATAATGGCGATGATGATGATGACGACGACGATGATGATGACAATGACGAAGATGATGATAAGGATGATGATGACAATGACGAAGATGATGATGACGACGATGATGATGATAAGGATGATGATGACGAAGATGATGATGATGATGATGACGACGAAGACGTAAATTAATTTACCGCCTTCTATTCTCACGTCGTCGTCATCATCATCATCATGCCAACGTCGACGCACGCCACGTGGAGACGTTCGGACGCACCCCTCGCTGCCCAGTGACGTCGCCGGTGATGTTGGTGAGGTCGCGTGGGACCCTCACCGCAACAGATTATTGTATAAAACAAATGAGTACAAAATATCCGACTTTTTCCGTAGACAAAGATCCCCCGTATAGCCTTAACATACTGTTGGGGCAAGCGCTGTTAGCGAGCACTTATGAAGGCCGGAACGGTACACGAGGGGGTGGGTGGCCAGCACCACGCCCGACCGCCTTTGTCTCCCTAGTGGCGATGTTTACACACCGCACCAGGTACTCATTTGAGGCTGAGTCGACCTAGGAGTGGCCTAGGACCGGTTCAAATAATCTTCACCGTTGTTGGACGTGTAAGGGGAATCGAACCCGGGTCGCCGGGTTCATAGCGCAGCGCGCTAACCGCTAAACTACCGCTCCCCACTTTCCGTAGACACACAGACACACTCACATATATATAGAACGACAACCGAGGGTAGTTTTTTTTTCCCACTCGCCAGAGCAGTCGATAGCTTTGCTTTCAGCCCCCCCTTCCACCCCACCCCCCTCCAACTCGCTTACCCCATTCCCAGATCTATGCGCGTGTATCACTTTCAATCAAGCGCTCTGATGCTGCCAATCAAGTCATTGATAGTGGGGGGGGGGGCTGCATGCGAATGGTTCGCGTGTGCGTGTGTGTGGCCATCCACGCGTGTAGAACGAGTCGAGGTACGAACCCCGGGCAACCTGAGTTCGATTCCCGCTCGGGGACCACCAACTCCCGGTGCTGGTCACCCACGCCCTTTCCTTCGCATGCCGTGCCGGCCTGCATGGGCCTTGCTAGCTAACAGCACTTGCCCCAACAGGTCTGTTGAGGCTACACGGGTGATCTTTGTCTGTGAGTGTGTGTCCGTGCGTAGCGAGCTCTCCATCAATAATGCACGCGCGAGTGAGTGCGGGTTCCCGGAAGCGGACACGTGTGTGACTCCCTGCTCACCCTCTCCCTTTCGACTCCCCTCTCATCTCTCTCTCTCTCTCACTCTCTCTCTAATCTGCCCGGCACTACTCCACGTTCAGTTCGGCCTTCTCTCCCATCCACCTCCCGACTCATTCTCTTTCCCCACAAATAAACACCCTGTCGTGAAAGAACCAACGCAGAAGATCCCCCGCGTTAGGGGGGGGGGGGGGGGTTGATCACCCCACGAAAGCTGCTCACGGTCCACCCCTAAGTCGCGATCCACCGCACAAACCCCGATGCGCGAAATGGAAAGTTCAAAACTCCTCGGGCGGTTGTGCTGCTGCTGCTGCTGCTACTGTCATGCAGAAGAGAGACCGGAACGACGCAATGGTCCCGATCCACAAACACGGCGATGATGACGCACTCTACTCACTCATGACGCCAGTTGTCTGCTGACTTGACCACCTGAAGGTGGTGACACTGTGGTCTTTGCTCTGCGTCTACATCACGAGCCATTCTACAATGAGGGAGGGAGGGATGGATGGAAGAAGACTCTCCCACTCACCTATCATCTATCTCCCATTTCTCCCCGCTACCATTTCTCTTCTACGTCTGCATCTGTCTCATATCGCTCGTGAAGGACAGAGATTGTATCTCTCCCTGTCATCACTTTCATGCTCTCTCTCTCTCAAATGGCTCTCTTTTTTTCTCTTCGTATCTTTTCTTTCCTCTCTCATTGTCCATCTCTATATATCTCTCTCCCTCGTTCGCTCTCCCTCTCATCTCTCTCTCCGGCTTTGTGCATTTCCTGCTGTTCCAGGGAGGATCTGCCCCACCAGTACTTACGCTGCCAGCGGCTCAAACGCAATGTTCCGCCGTTTGGGGGACATCTTCAGGAAAATGGGGGTGCCATTCTACAACAGCGGCTTCGTATATGGGGTGGTGCCTTACCTGGCTAACAAGCGCCATGACCTCGCCAACTTCGCCTGTGCTCAGACGAAGATGGCGGTGTACAGAACGAGGAAAAAGATGCTGGAAGGTGACACTGACGGCTGCTCTGTGCTGCTTCCAGTGTTCAGGGGCCTGCTTAAGGCGCGGCTCCGGCTGGAGCACGCCATGTACCACACACATGTCGGTGATGTGCAGCGCGTCTTCTTCGAACGCTGGGGAGCCGGACAAACCCCTCTCTGTACCAGCGTAGACGGCACCCCACGTGTTCATCTTCTGAAGCGATCTCTCGTCACCGTGGCGTGCGCGATGACCTCCACCACCACCACCACGTGGCTTTTATTTCGTGTTGTGCGCGGTGCATTTAGCGCCACAGCGCGTGTATGTTTAGTGTTGGTTATTTGTGTTGCTGGTGACTTTGTGTATTTCGTATCGGAATCGCCTCCAGTGCTGTTGCCGCTGACAGCAATAAAAGTTGTTTATAAGTCTCGCCTCTCTCTCTCTCCCTCTCTCTCTTTTTTTTATCAAACTCCACGAGTCATTTTTATTGGCATTGCGTGGGCAACAACCGGATAGCCAGCTGAACGAGGTGGGCACGCCCAGTGCTTAGTCCTCTTCGTCCTCCTCCTCGTCCTGGTTGATCTGGAAGTAGCGCAGCCCGTAGGATTCCTTGCTGGCGGCGACCACACGCAGCCAGTCCCGCAGGTCGATCCTCTTCAGGTACTTGAGGTACCGCTTGGAGAAGGAGATCTCGGAGGAGACGGTAATCTTGCTCTTGCTGCGCTCCACCATCACGTGCCGAGTGCTCGCTCACTTTGCCCGTCTTGCCGTCCACCTTGATGCGCTCCTTCAGGAACCGCTCAAAGTTGGCCGAGTCCATGATGCCATCCTCCACGGGGTGTGTGCAGTCCAGCGTACATTTCAGCACCAGCTTCTTCTTCTTCTTGCCATTCTGGGATTTCTACACCCCTGGCTTCTTGTGAGAGCGTGCTGGCGTCTCTCTCTCTCTCTCTCTCCCCGTCTCTGATTTGGTGACCGCGGTGGGCCACTCACAGCGCCACGCGTTGCCAACTCGCACATTCACAGGCAAAGGACAATGATTCCCCCCCCCCACTCCCCTGTGTAGCCTGAACGTATTTTTTTTAGGGGGGAAGGGGCAAGTGCTGTTAGCGGCGAGCACCGAAGGCCGGCACGGCACACGAGGGGGCGGGTGATGTTTACACGTCGCACCACGTGCTCATCTGAGGTCTCAGTCGACGTAGAGAGAGGCCCAGGTCAACCGCCAGTCGCGTTGTTAGTCGCGAGTGTGAAATGAACTCAGGTGGCCGCGATATTTACGGCAACTGATTTCGTCTTCATACTCCAAAGATATTCGAAACGCCTTTTTTTCTTCATAATAATGGTAGCGAAAGCCGACGTGTTAAACTGCATTTTCTTCGAAGTAAAAAAAACACAACTACTTTAAAACTCCAGAACAGATGTGTCGTTAAACCCGCCACCACCCGACACAGCCAATCAGTAATGTTTGTCGCGTAAACAAAACGTGATAATTAGTTACTAGTACAGCGCTAACCGGTTGCGTGTTGGAAACCTACTGCAGCATTTACCATTCGAGTACCGTGACGCTCCGCTGGTGATTATAACAACAACAACCAGCAGCAGCATCCTCAGGCAACAGCCACAGAGTTGTGGACGAATCCTCCTCCTGCTTCGACGCAAATGGTGACGTCGTCTCTTGTGAGCCAATCGTGAATGTGTATGGCGCATGCCCGTCGTGCATGCACATTGTGACGTCGATTAACTGTGAACGGCCCAACCAATTATAGAGATCCATTGTAGTTTATATGAATACATTAACCACCTCCCCCCCACCCTTCCTCTCGTCGCACCTGACGCCTGATGTATATTTGGAGTTTGCGTCTCTCTCTCTGTCTCATCTCACTCATCATCATCATCACGGTGGCGACTAGATCTTAACTACATCGCCTGGTATACAGGAGGTCGTGGGTTCGATCCTGACCCTGACGATGCCTGCTGTGTATTTGGAGTTTGCTCTGTGTCTCTGTCTCTCTCTCTCTCTGCCCCCGTGGTCGCCTGGATTTTTCTCCTGGTCCTCCGGTATTTTCCCCTCCACATTCAGAATCAACAGCACGTGCATCTAGAGTATTGTGGCTGCAATGCACGTGTGGCCGGGTCGCTTCTGAAAAAAAAAGCTATATAGCTCAGTGGGCCTTACCTTGTAAAAAAAAAAATTCGTTCAGTATAGTTTTATGTTCAATACTGCAATGCAAATGTAAGGTAAAAAAAAACCGGCATAGGAGCCGATAGCGAGGTAGCGTGGTTCCGTGGGATCTATTTTCGCAAATGGAAGCGTTTGTCTTGTAGTTGACGGGGAAATCAGCCGGTCACAATAGCCCTCCTCCCCGCCCGCCCCCTGCGATACCCCCCCACTGCTCCCCCACCACCCTCAACCCTTCCGGAGCGAGAAATCCACGAGCGAAATTGAGTTGGGATTTCCTTTATTTATTGTCCATCAACAAACAAGCGGGCTCCTGACACGGGGGGCGGGTGGGGGGGACTGGCCCAGGCTGTGTGAGCACGAGCTGGCCATAATAAACGATTGGATGGTTGTCCTGACGCCTCTAACGGATATCTATAATCATGTATAATAATGATCATTGTAATGGGGTTTTTTTTTAACCACAGGGCTGATAACATCGCCTTTACTACATTTTAAGACCCGATGCAAGAAGACCTTCACGATTCTGGAGAAATCGCCTGACGAAGCTTGCCCTAATCGCGAGCGAAACGTCGTACTCGAGTTGTAAATGGTGTTTGCTTCACTCTCCAACGCAACTAGCGAGCAGCTGTCTGACCATACGGATCCATGCCTGGTGTCGCTCCTTCCATTTATGCTCAAAGGAACTATGACGCAGCTGACTCATCTCTCACCGGCTCGGCACGATCACTCCTTCTCACGTGCGCCGCCAGAGGTGATTGGCTCGCGGGGGAAAATTGCACTCACGAGCTGAGCTTTAACACCTGCGCGCGCGCGCGCGTGTGCGTGTGTGTGTACGTTGAACTTCTTTCGCTCAATATGTAGCCAAGCGCGCTTTTTGGAGGCGCGGGAAATGGACAACAAACTAATCACAAAAAGCGGTTCTAAAGAAACGAGGTTGTCGATTTCGATTTAAAGCTTTCGTGACTGCAAGGATGCATCTTCTTTGGTTCTTTCGGTAAAGTCACGTAGAATGAGAATAAAATAATAACACGATGAAATTCTCACGACGTTTCGGCCGCTTGCGTTGTGGCCGAAACGTCGTGACAAATGTTATTGTGCTATTTTATTATTTTATTCTCATTCTACGTGACTTTACCGAAAGAACCAAAGAACAGGTTGTCGATCTAGACGATGATGATTTACAAGTGCATCGCTCCCGGTGGCTTCCCGATATCGGAAGGGAAGAACGTTCCAGACGGCCGCAGAAGCAGCGCATCTGAACAACGCGGTGACCACCGCCTTTGTTCGATGGCCGAGTCCAAAATCCGCTGTCGCTGCTGCTGCTGCGAGGATGATGACCGACCGGAGTATCGCGTGCTGATGGCTAATGGCTCCTTGCCGTTATCACTCTACCCGACGATCTGGCCGAAAGGAAAAGGACGATCGCTCCGTTGTGAGCACAACACGTTCAGAATTCGCAATGTGCCTACAATAGATTCATTCATTCTAATCGATTCCTATGGAGGTGGAGTGTTGGGCGTGGGGTGGGTGGGGGTTTAGACTCGGGCAATCTCAAGCAGGGGTTCTCACCCGGAGGTACCCGCACCTCTGAGGGTACGCGTGGCAATACCCCGGGGGGAGGGGGAGGTACGGCAGGTGATTTATAAATGTCTCACATTCTATCACACACACGATAGTCATTGGTAGACAAGCACGCGCGACTCTTATTCATATTCTTTGGCTCTGTCGGTAAAGTCACGTAGATAGATCTTGAATTAAAGCTTCCGTGACTGCAGGAATTCATATTCTTGGGTTTTTCGGTAAAGTCACGCAGATAGGTTCAAAGAAAAAAACAAAGAGAACTTTGACGTTTCGATCGCAACACAAGCGAGTCGTCATCAGCAAAAGGGGGGTTAGCTTCTAAAGGCAAACTGTGTGAATCTGCCAATATTAAACAACTACGATACAATTCTAATCGATAGGGTAACTTCGGGCGATGTAGAGGGACTTACCGGACCCATCGATCCTAAACATTGTGTGACTTTGCAAGAGCGACCAGCGAGCGAGAAATACAAATTTAGCGAATGCGCCCATTGAGTGTTCCACTTTGCTCGCTAAGCGGTCGCTCAGGCAAGTTAGGTGACTCACGAAAACGGACGCTTGGTTAAAGTGTTGCCGTTCGCTGTTCGTACGTTTATTTCCCAGACAGACAGCATGCTGGGACAGGCGGAGAACAATGTTGGGCTGGAGAACAACGCCGCACGGCGAACAGTACAAGGGGCCGTCCATAAATGACGTCACACACCTAGGGGGGGGGTCAGACATTTGTGTCGATGTGTGACGAGGGGGGAGGGGGGGTTGAGCAATGTGACGTCACATCAAAATAATTATGAACAATTTGATTGTTATAACAACACAAATTTTGATTAATTTTCATTTTTAACTATTTGCTTATTCAACATTTCGATTTCCATTATTCTACCAGGGCTTTTCATTCTGTGGAATGATTATATGATTGTTATAATTGTACTCTCCATTTTGCTTCGTTCTACTACAAAGTTTCAAGTAATTTTTTTTATAGTTATAATTTCTTTTAATATTTTATAATTATAAGATAATTTCAATATAATATTCTGAACATCTGCAGTTTTAGTTAGACGTTGAATATTTTCAAGTTAATTTTACGCTAAATTTCAGCTTTCCAACGCCTCCTTTTTAATGCATGTTTTTTTTTCCCTACAATATCATAGTGCAGCGCCACATTAAATACGCACTACAATGACAATAGTTTAAAGTGATTTGAAGCATAATAAAGTATTAAAGCTTTCGTGACTGCATAAAATTTCTCATTGTTTTTTTCGGTAAAGTCACGTATGTAGAAATTCAATAAAATTATCTTAAAACAAAAAAACAATCACGACATTTCGATCACAACGCAAGCGATCTTCATCAGGTGTCAAGAACAAATCACGGAAGTAAATACAACAACAAAAAGATGAGAGACGAGAATTCAACAAACCTGAAAAAAACATTATGTGAAGCACATCCAGTCAGGCCAACAACACAGTTAGACACTTCCTGGCTGACCACGAATTTCTGAAATTATCGTCTCTCATCTTTTTGTTGCATTGACCTCCGTGATTTGTTCTTGACACCTGATGAAGATCGCTTGCGTTGTGATCGAAACGTCGTGATTGTTGTTTTTGTTTTAATATAATTTTATTGTATTTCTACATACGTGACTTTACCGAAAAAAACAATGAGTGATTTGAAGCATGTTTTATTTTCAAACTGGAAACTTTTTTTAGGGAGTGGGGGGGGGGGCGAGGCAGAGCTTTGTGACGCCGTGTGACGAGGGGGGGGAGGGGGGGTAAAAAATCGGCCGGAATCGCGTGACGTCATTTATGGACGGCCTGCAGATGTCAAGGCGGTTGTGAGCAGTTATATGTATACATGGGGACATTGGAGACGAGGCCGTCGCTGGTGTAGACCAATCAGTTTCCTCGGACAGTTGCGTATATCTTACCCCAAGCATGATGTGTGGTTAACGCAGATTTGATGCCTTGCAGTAGGTGCGTGTCCATTTGGTGTCTGAACATCTGTAGTTGTTGCCTGACGGGGTGACGCCTATCGTCGTCTTGATACCGGCAACAACAACAACCACAAATGTTCCCATAGATGAGAGCAAGTTAATCCGGAGTGCCTTTTACTCGGGGTGTATAACTTGATGA